TTCATCATCAGCCCTAGAGGCAATCCACCACCACCACACTGGAGTAGGGTATTACACCACAACGATGGCCCGAACCAGTATAAATCTTGTGTCTTTCTGTGTTGCGAGTTCGCCGAGTTCGTCCGCGAGATCTTAGCGAGCTAGGGCGTAGATCGGTGGGAGGAAAAGACTTCGCGCGCACCCCAGTGTTCGAACCTTAAGGGTTTGCTGGAATCCCACATCCGGCACCCACCTTCAGCATGACCTGTTTCCTTTTGACGAAAAAAGTTTGCAAACAACTCACATCTTCAATGGAAAAATATTTGTGGAGCAGATCCATTGATAGGCGGTCCTTGCACTGCCTATCAGGGGAGAAATTGTCAGCACCAAAGGTTCAGGGAGGCATGGGTTTCAGAGAGCTCGAAATTTTTAACCTGGCGCTTCTTGGGAAGCATGGCTGGAGGTTCATAACTCACACTAACTCCCTTTGCTCTCGAGTCCCCAAAGGGAAATATTTCCCGGACTGTGACTTTATGCAGGCCAATGCTCCATCCTCCTCATCAGCAACATGGAAAGCTATTATTGCGGGGAGAACGACATTGCAAGTGGGATTGATCAAGCGTGTTGGCAACGGAGAATCAATCTCTATCTGGAACGATCCCTGGATCCCTACCTCTACTACCCTCAAGCCCATGGGGCGGTTAGGGAATGATCCGCTCGAGCGGGTCTCCGAGCTCATTGATACTAACACAGGGACTTGTGATTTTGAAACAGTACGTCGGAACTTTCTTGCACCTGATACGGAGGCCATATTAAACATTCCTATTCGGCACAACGGTGGAGAAGATTTCCTGGCGTGGGCCTTTGAAAGATCTGGAGAGTACACTGTAAAATCAGCCTACCGTGCTCTTGTGACTCAGAACGAGCATCGAGCTCTAGAGGAAGGGACGGTAGTGGGAACATCAACTTCTCAAAAAAAAATTGTGGACTGCTCTATGGAAACTCAAGGTGACCCCAAGAGTTCATGTTTTCATGTGGAGAGTTCTCAGAGGGATACTCCTGATTACGTCAACATGAAATACCGCCATATTCGCACTAACTCTCTGTGCGAATTGTGCAAGGCAACGGACGAAGATCTATTCCACGCACTTGTTCATTGCACACACACACACACCAGCTTTCTGGTTTGCAGCTAAGGAAGTCCTCAGTCTAAAACTTCCCCGGCTGCATCATGATACATGGGCGCGAGACTTAGTGGTTGACACTAGGTTCTCAGACTCGGACAGATGCAAGATCATTACAATCATGCATTCGATCTGGACCTTGAGGAACCGCTGGACGCACGATGAGGAAGGCTATGACCCCGCCCAGGCAACCAAATGGGCCCGAGATGACCTAGCTATACTTGATCTGCCTCTGATCCAACGACACAACACGTGGATTCAGAAGTGGAGTCCATCGCAACCCGGGTGGATCAAAATCAACACAAATGGCGCTCTTGACACACAACTCCAGGTGTAACCAACCCCTTCATTGCCGAAACCCTAGCGTTGCGAGAGAGAGTGATATTTGCCCAGCCGAGGGGCTTCTCGCACGTGGTAATGGAGGTGGACTGCTTGGAGGTAGCGAACCTCTGGAACTCGCATCATAGTCTTAGATCGATGATGAAGCCTATCTTCAATGAAATCAAGGAAAGAGCTGCAAAGTTCATTTCCTTCTCGATCCAGCATGTCGCGAGAGAAGCCAATTGTTCGGCTGATCTTTACACGAAGCATGCGACTACCCTTTCAGTATTAGATGTCTGGCTGGACTCTTGTCCATCCTTCTTAGTTAGCAGTTTCTTAGCTGAATGTAACCAAATCTCAATCATGGAATAAAGCTCCTTAATTTCGCATCAAAAAGGTATGTATTTTTTTACAGGTGTATTCTAGAGAAACACGCTAATCCAAACAGGGCCTGATTTGTTTAAAAGACACACACGCTGCTGACCTGTGATATAGCTAACTAGTTTGACCTCCAACCGTTGACTAGTTTGAAGTTTTACTGGTTTGAAAAATTCTCATGCATTTTCAAAAATGTCAGAAATCCAAAAAAGTTCATGATTTCGAAAAGATCACGAATTTGAAAATTTTCATGAAATTAAAAATAGTTAAAAAACCATGAATTTGAAAAATGGTCATGTCTTTGAGGGAAAATGTTCACAAAATTGAATTTGAAAAAGGTTCACGAATTTGAGGCAAAACATTTCATTAAATATGAAAAAAGTTCAAGAATTTGGAAGAAAATCGAAACTGAAGATAGTTCAAGAATTTGAGGCAAAAGTTCAAAAATTTGAAAAAAAGTTCACGGATTTTGACAAAGCTAAATTTAATTTTTCTACAATTTTCTATAAATTTATTTTTAAAAAAATCATGAACTTTAAGATACATAAAAAACGAATTAAACTAAGCAAAACCCGATGCAAGAAATAAAAAAACAAGAAAACGGAAAACTGGTTGGAAGCTTCCCAAAACTTCCTCTCAAATACCTCGTAATGGGCCGGCTCACAGAAGAGGGAGGTGGGGGGGGGTATGGAAACACCTGTAACTGAGGAAATAGACTGATTTGCGGGTTACGAGGTCACGGTTTGAGGAGCCCGGCCGAGTCACGATTTTGTGACCGTTCATTGACCGAACCGTCTACCCAAGGGGCATTTGAAGAATCTGGCTGTAGATGTTCTTAGTCATCCATCCATGAATGGACAGAAAGGGAGTATACATAACAGAAGGCATTATTTTTTAGAACTAAAAAAAGCACTAATGCGCGCACGCTCGTCACACTTCGACCCGGCGCATGGATGACCCAAATTCAGTTCCTTCTCCACCACGTCTTCGTATGTTTCCTACCTTTTTCTTTCCATCACCCATTCATCCAACCTTCCATGTATGATAATCAATTAACTTAATTTACTTATCTTCTGAACCAATTCCACTTTAATTTACTTACCAAACTTAAAATCAAAATGTAAGATAATTCATGGGCAGAATTTGATGAACATTTATTTACACAATCGCATTATTGTGGACAGGTAAATCATAAGCTAACGTGCTAGAATATTTATATCCCGTTGCAACGCACGGGCATTGTTTTAGGCGATGGCTTCGTGACCCCGCTTTCATTCTCCATTGCCAGCGAGGGCGTCAGGCTCCGGATCCACAGCCACACCTATCCGGCGGCGGCTGTAAGCCAAGGAGCTTGGGATGCCAGTCGCCAGATTGCTAGGTTTGGGCCTCCTCCTTTGGGATTGTAGTGCTACTCCCTCCGTGGGGAAAAGATGTACACTTTGCAGCCTCCTGTACATTACATTTTGTTTGAAAATACAGAGCCCCTCGTATGTGCCTGTTGTGAACTCTGTGCTATTCTACAGTATATTTCTATGCATGTCTCGTTTCTGTTATGCATTGTGACATTTCAGTCACTTGTTCAAGTCAAGTGGATGTTTGGCAGCAGGTTATGGTCTAGAGCCTGCAACTCTGCAAAAGCTCAAGCTTTCTCTGCAACTCTGCAATGTTTAAGCTCCCAGGGATTGCAAGATTTCATAGTAACCATCAGAGTTTATCTTGCCTCTACAACCTCAATGTATGAAATTCAAGCCAGAGAGGTGAGTTATGTATTATTGATTCTAACCCTTATAAAATCCTTGGTCCGAATTGGTATATTGCAATTTTGCTCTATTGACGTCCATACGTGAAATTAGAACAAGTAAGGACACTAGATGAGCAAGGCAATCTTAGAATTCTCTGGTGAATTATAATATGTAACGGTAAATACATGTATAATAACACACCAAGTACACCTACTCGGGATTTTTGCGCTCATGCTTTTGCTATGACAAGTGCAAATTCATGGACATCCCATTTTCAAGTCTAGTCTCACGCGTTGCCATATTGAAAACACGTATCGTCATAAACGACCACACATACTCAATGATATGCAGTTCGACAATGTTGATAATTATTTGAATATATAATAGTCGAAAAGGAAAATATGACACCAGACTATTAAAACTAACAAATTGACAGCACCAATTCCCAGAGGTGTCTTTCCATCTAGTACATCTTATGCAACACGAAAAGAAATACTCCTTAGTAATAGAAGGTGGTTTTGTAGCACAGTAATAGAATCCACTAACCTATGAGTGCCTTTCTGCGTCTCAAATCTGCCCTGAAAAGAGGAGGGCACTACCTTTCCAGTTAAAAAATTTCACAAATGCGTGATATTTTTTTGTCGATACAGCTGTTGTCCTTGCTATTTTGTACTGAAATAACTGTTCTTCTGAAGAAAATGTCACATGTGAAACTTGGGCTCAAAGGACCACTCACAGTTCGGCTAAAACGACATCACAGGAAGCCAAAGATCACATCGTATATATCACCTTCTGATCGTACATTCCTTTCGTGTAGTCACTAACAAAAAGAAAAGAGATGAGACAACCAATTTCAATGGAATTATACGCATCCAGCTTATTCGCGAAAAAAGAGAACGAATTTCAGGATTTTTCACATTACAGCCTGCCCGTGGTCTCAAAATCATGTACTCCTAGGCAACAGTTCCCTACAAAAAATCTAGTACTAGGCCATAGCTGGCAAATCTTGAAGGAGCATCAGGGAATCTCTGTGTGCCACCACATGTGCCCCTTGTGGTGGCTTTTTGCTTTGCACCCTCTTTATCCCCCAGCAGAAACATCAGTGATGCCAAGTAGCACTGTAACAAAAGCATCTGATACTGTTGCATGTTTTGGAGGTGGTGCTGCTAACCAGGAAGATTATCGGAGAGTACTCATCCTGATTCTGTGAGATATCAAAGGAGTGAGAAAGGCACAGCACAGAGCACCTCCACCTCCCAACAGAGTGTCTGTCACAGAAAGAACAAAGCTGAACTGGTGCCAACATGCACTTAACTTGTGGAGTAGCTATCTCCAGCAGTTAAAAGACGAGCCTCCGCACACACTCCACATCGGTGTTTCTCTGTTGGCAACCAAGATGAAGAAAGGTGCTCTCGCTCTCTTCCTCATCCTCCTCACCTTTGCTTCCCATGGCATATGGTGTGAAGCAGCTCGGAGAGGCACCATGGCTGATGCAGCTCATCATCATCTGAGGCCTCATCCCCAGGTGCAGGGATTGCATGGTCAGTAGTTTGTGTACATCATCCCCTATTTGCTCTCAACTTTCTTGATATTTAAACTTCACCCTTACAAAAGTATTCCTGGAATTGCCGCTTACTTTCCAGAAACCCAAGGCAGGAGGCTCCTGGGGAAGCTGGAGCACATGGCAGGTGGTGGCCCCGGCGGTGGAGCAAGTGGCGGCGGGAGGAACACCGGTGGCGGTGCGGCGAACACGAGGCCGCACAATACCAAGAACGGCGGCGCTGTGGCCCTGCCGGAACCGGTGACCTCCGTTCTGGCACTGGTCTTCAGCACTACCATTCTTCTCTCGGTGCTCAGCTTCTAAAGTACGGATCTTGATCCGGGTGGTACTGCTAGTATCTGTGTAGTGTTGCAGTTTCAGAAATTGTTTGCCTAACGTTTGTGGGTATCGCACTAATATGTTTACCTAATTTGTGCTTCTTAAGTTCTTGAATTATCAAGCTGCTATGTTTGGTCAGCAGGTACCAGATTATCCTGCTATACGGGAAAATATAAGTATGTACACCAACCATCGACAATATGCGTGGATAAAATGGAATTCAGACATTGCATACACTAAAATGCCGTATGTTCCTGGGCATCCATGTATTTCATCTAATTTTGATTTAAATAAGTGAATATTTTCTTTGGAGGCCGAGCTCCATGGAGCTCGGTTTTGAAAAATTCAAAATTCATATTTTCTACATTTCAAAAAATTCTAAAAAAACAAAGATATACATGAAGGCATAACACACATGTGTGTAAACTTTCAGGGCAAAGTACGTTGAAATGAGGGCTGTGCAAAAAAGACAAATCTGAGGCTTTTTAACACAAGACACTATTCATCCTCCCAGGCCATGAATTTATCTTTTTTATACAGGTCCCATTTCAATGTTTTTCATCCTGAATTTTACACACATACACATAACATCCTTGTTTACTTTCACATTTTTTTCAAAATTTTTTGAAACCAAAAAAGTTGAATTTTGATTTTTTTTTTCAAAAGAAGGCCTCCATGGAGGCTGAGAGGCAAACGTTCGTTCTCTTCAATAAGACATTTTGTTAGTACTTGTAATTTGCACACGGAGGACAAAATTATCTTCAGTCAGAGATGCCATTTGGAAGCAAAACTGAACATAATCTTGTTACTATATAATCCTACGAGTATGAAATCTGGATGTTGATTTTTTTTTGAATTTACTATTCATCTGAGGTGCACCAAACTGTTGGAATTAGGGCTTTAACCCATTTGTTATATCCAATAAAGGTTTTAAATATATCAACATCCAGATTTCATACTCGTAGGATTATATAGTAACAAGATTATGTTCAGTTTTGCTTCCAAATGGCATCTCTGACTGAAGATAATTCTACTCGTAGGACTATATTTTTTTCAGATTTTTTTGAAACCTTAAATGTGATTTTCAAAGTATTTAAAATAAAGTCCTCCAATACACCCGGGTTCCAAAAATCCACTATCGTAGTAACATAAGTGTGGTAACATGCAAAGCTTTATTTATTAGGCAATAGATTCATATTGCATTGGAACATGTGATGTTACAGTAACTAGCTAAGTTACTGAAACTACCTCTCTTCTCATTAACTCATTGCCACATAAGCAAATTTGCTGAGTTGGACTCGATGTTACTGCTGAAATTACTCCCACTGTGGTTAGTCTTAGTATTGTTGTTTCACTTCCCTTATTTCTCGCGTTGCTTTTTTTATTTTTTACATGGTAATATGTGTCTCATTCATATCATAAAGATCAAAATACAAGTCACGTAAGGACCAACATGACAAAACTGAAAAGACAATAGAACATCTCTGAGTTTGACATCAACGCCTGTCACCTGCCTCCGGCACCACCACAGCAGCCACCGAAGAAAAGAATGATGGATCACCTCCTCACCCGAGCTCGACGTGCCTCCATCGCTGATATGCAATTTTGCAGACATCCAAGGTGACTCACCAAAAGTGAAGCCATTGCCATTGAACAAATCAGACAGGAGCAACACCCCATGCATGCAATCGAACTCCAAATCTGGCACCCCACCACGACTAAGACGCGAAAGGAGGAAACCACACCTGCCCTCCATCAACCATGAAACCGGCACACATTCCATCTTTCAGATGTCATCGATGCAGACCACAATCTGCATCCGCTCCTGGACTACCTCCCAAGCTCCATGCCGATGTTGGAGTAGACGTCGTCGCAACGACGGAGCCTGAGGACACATGTCCACCACGAGGATGCCACCGCCACACCATCCTTACTTGAACAGATTTGTTTCCAAAACCGTCCCCAACCATAGGGCCGATCGCCTTGCCGGGGAAGGATCTGAAGAATCTTTATTCAGCATCACCATCGCCGTCGCCGAAGTCAAGATGATGAACAACCTAAAAATGAAGCTACTTTAGCCTACAACTATCCACGCACATGTGGATCCGGCGACCCCCCTCCCCCCTCCCCCCTCACTCGGTCGTCGGCAGAGGGGAGCCACTAGAGGAGGACACCAGAGGAACTCTCCATGGGAGAGACGCTGGCAAGATTGCCCTATTTCTTCCAGAGGAAGAAAGAACAACCCGGTATGGTCTTTTTGTCATCTCTACTACTTAAAATATGTATTATACGTATACTACTTAAAAAGAATGCAAGGTTTCATGTTTCACTTTTCTTTTCACCACCCATTCGTCCAATTTTCCCTGTATGATAATCAGTCATCTTTATTTACTTACCTTCTTAACCACTATCACACCCGCAAAAAAATAAACCACTATCACTTTAGTTTACTTGTCCAACTTCTCATCAAAATATAAGATAAATCAAGGGCAAGATTCGACACATACTCCACTCGTTCCAAAATACAAGGTGTATTAGTTTTATACTACTTAAAAAGAATGTAATGTTTCATGTTTCACCTTTTTCCACCATCCCGACATCCAATATTCCCTGTATTATAATAAATCACATTATCACTTGAATTTACTTACCAAACTTGTCACTGAAATCTCTACTCTCTACTACTTAAAATACTGTACGATTCTCATTTCACTTTTCTTTCCACCATCCTTTCATCCAACCTTCCTTATATAATAATAAATCAACTTAATTTAGTTACCTTTTGAACCAGTTACACTTTAATTTGCTTATCAAACTTTGCATCAAAATATAAGGTAAATCATGGGCAGAAATTGATAATCATTTATTTACACAATCGCATTATTATAGGCAGGTAAATCATAAGCCGTCATACTAGAAGATTTATATCCCCTTACAATGCACGTGCATTGTTCTAGTATAAGATAATATCTCTACTACTTTACAAAAACGTAAGGTTTCCATTTCACCTTTCTTCCCACCATCCATTCGTCCAACCTTCCATGTATATGATAATCAATCACCTTAATTTACATACCTTCTTTAGCAATTCCACTTTAATCTACTTACCAAACTTCTAATCAAAATACAAGGTAATTCAAGGGCATAATTTGATGAACATTTATTTACACAATCGCATTATTATTGACAGGTAAATCACAAGCTAACGTACTAGAATATTTATATCCCGTTGCAACGCATGGGCATTGTTCTAGTATACTACTTAAAAAGAATGTCAGGTTTCACGTTTCACTTTTATTTCCACCACCTCTTTGTCCAACTTTCCCTATATTACAATCAATCACATTAATTTGCTTACCTTCTTAACCACTATCACTTTAATTTACTTACCAAACTTCTCATCAAAATATAAGATAAATCACGGGCCAGATTTGGCACATGCTCCATCCGTTCCAAAATATAAGGTGTATTACTTTTTTTTCAAAAGTCAAACATGTGCATGTTTGACCACGTTCTTAGAAAAAATATCAATACCTACATTATAAAATTTGTAACATTGGATCTATCATGAAATGCATTTTCATATTTTAATCATTTTGTATTGTAGATGTCGATATTTTGTTCTTGTAACATCCCAAACTCCAATATTTTGGAATGCTAATTATTTAAATAGAATTAGCTAGAACTTGCGTGTAGTTTTTTTAGCCTAGATAGTTTTGACTAGGATTTTAAATTTTGGAATTTAAATGAATACTAATTGAGAGGGAATAAAAGGAATTTCCCAAATTGATGTTGGATCTTAACATATTTTATTCTTTAAAACAATTTCAACTATAAAATTAAAAGAGAGAAGGTAATATGACTCCTTCGATATAAATGAGTTGGTAAATGTAGTCAGACTCTACTGATGCAGTGGCAACCAAGCACCACAGCCCAATCCTCGGCGCAGTAGAAGCCTGACTTTTTTTTTCTTCGACGAACGATTCTCAACATGGTTCGGCTGATAATTAGGTGCCCGAACGAGCCCTCTCGTTTTTTAACACAATATACATACGCTCGTTTACTTTCGTTACACGGACACCATCACGCACATGTCGTGTCCTAGTATTTTCCTTGACGCGCAAGCCTCGTCTCTTCGACTTATAAATAGGGCATCAGGTACAGCGAACCTCCCTGGCAACCTTCCATTAAAATCATTGTTATTCTCACGATTCGTTTGACAAGGCACATCTACTCATATGATCTGTTCCAAACAGACGTTTTTAACTACATATCCAATTTGGAGGCCCCCGTCGTTTGACTTTCGCGACAAAATAGGTCATCCGCATTATCCATCCAAGTCAACGAGCTTCATATCTGCAATTTAAGAGTTCGACCTAGCATTCCCTATCATTATCTATATTCTATAATATTTGTGTTCATTTGGTTCTTAAACTGGATTTGGAGTTTATTCGATTGCAACTACTTTCAGGTATAGATTATGAGTAATTTGCAGAGAGAGAGTTGTCGCATCAATGAGATATTAATAACTTCATTGACTATCAGGCAAGATGCACTTTTTGATCATGTTCCATCCTATATTCTGCTATGCATGTAGTATCTTGTATGAACATAATAGTATGCATGTGTAGGACTTACGATATGCTATATGTTTGGTTTGATCCTATTTTTCCTTGTCACTGTATTCGGGAATAATTAGTTATGTTGTGTCATTGTGTGCTTAGCTTTGTTATGGTATATGGGGTAGCTTCTTGTATTCACATCACACACGTAACTGCCGCTGGTCTACACGCACAAAGGGAGGGCACTCATGCTGGTTCTCCTCGTCCATCAGATCTACACCGAAAAACTTCATCGAATGGAGAACGCGTAAACATAAAAGGTTTCTCCTCGACAAGATGAATCCATTTAGTGAATGAAATCCAAGTTTCGTCCACCATAGGTCTTCAATTTCACAATCTAGTGTAGAGGCATTCCCGCA